GTTCAATCTTTAGTCATGTAAATGACTCTATATATGGAATTTATTGTTCTTATTCTTATGGGCCTTGTTTTGGATCTGAAGATTTGATATTGTCTGGTGAAGATTTTAAAAGCGAGAAGGGATGTTATTGTAAACCTACTAATTATAAAACACCCATTAGAAAAATTAGTGACAAATTTTCAATTGATGAATTTGAAGTATTTCGAGTGGTTAGAAAATTTTCAAATACAGATACATCATAATTTATTATATTTTTTGTATTAAAAAATTTATTTAAAAAAAAAAATCGAATAGATAGATTTATTTATATACAATTAATTAGAAGAATTAATACAGTTTAACCCACCAATTCATACAATAAAAATTACAAGCATTCTTATTAATCCAGCTATGCTTAAAAACTTATTATAAATATCTATGGTATTTGCATTATACCATTTCGATCGACTATCTTTGTTGGGGTTGGTTCATGAAGGTTTCCCGTTTCATCAAAATATATCTTTTGTTAATTTTTTACTGTTATTTTTTATTCTCCGTTTTAGTAGGGACGGGTGCAAACAAAGTTTTTGGAAACTTTGCAGCCTCTGGATTAATTCCAAAAGGTCCTACCACACCCGAAAACTCGTCCTGCATCCCATTAACAATGCCTAATGAAGAAACTCTGATAAAAAATAATTCCATACTTTTAACACTATCAGGTTTGACAAATGGTACCACCCATAAATACAGTGATGAATTAGTATTATTCGTGATTACGGACGAATAATCAAATTTTATTTTTGGGATTGAAATTAAGCCGACTTGTTTTGGGTTATTACTGTATATAGTACAAGTGTAAAAGATTTAAACATAAAGTGCATTACTTCATCTTCATTAAATGTCTTATTCGTTAAAGGTGTTATTAGGGTTGGTGTAGAAGTTTCAAATTTATTACTCTCATCATTAAATTTCTTATTACTCTGTTCATTATTTATATTTTCTAATGATTCTTTGACCAATTCATAACATTCCTTTAACATCTTCCAAGTAATGTATACACGATCATTTGGATCTAATGCCGTATTTTGTTCGGGAGTTATTATATTGAAACAATGTGTATCAGTTTTTGTCCATTTTGTGGTGGTGTCAAAAGGTTTTTCTAAGTCTTCCGTTGATATTAAGAATATTAAAAAACCGTTGAAGAATAATACAATCATGAAACAGGAGTACTTGTATGGTAGCATTTTTTTCTAAATAAGAGTTAATGAATGAATATACGCGTGTAAAGAACGTGAATTTGAAAATATCGTTGAGATATTGTACGATGATATTATATATATTATAAATAATTGATGCCATTATAATTTTCTTAATTATATATATCACTTTTACTTTCAAAATAACAATGCCATGTTTTTTAATGGTTTTTTTAAATTGCTACCTTTTAAAAATGATTTAAATAATTAGTGATCGAGCAAGACACCACTTTTGATTTGTTAATTTTAGCTTCAGCCGTGACATTCATTTTTTCACGAAAGCAAAACAAAATAAAGTATCGCACTAATACTGTGAGCCTTGAGAATTAGATAAGTCGGTGACTCAATTACTATTACTACTGTATTTCAATTGCTATGCGTTTATACAAGATCCGGATCAATAGTGGGATGACAAAAACTTATTTTTATTTTCTTTTCGTTTTTGTCGGATTTTTTATCGCAAAATTGATTATCACTGATCGTAACCATAATGAAAGGATCAAGCGTAATAAAACTAGGTTAATGCGCGGCATTGTATCATGTTATATTTGGTTTGTTTTTGACGTAAAACAGATCAAAGTTATGTAATGAATCAAAAACGTAACTACTACACACGTTCGGTTTAAAGTTACGATTTTGATATTATTAATATTTTATGCATCAAAAACGTAACCTTTCTATAATCTTACCTAACCATATAATGACCGTCGTTATGCTCCGGACAATAAATCGTATCCATGTACTACGAAACATGATTACATGATTAAGACTTAATTATGTTACCAATAAACGATAAATATTTTGTAAAAAAATGTAAAGTTAAAATGAAACCGAGCGAAGCTATAGAAGATTAAGAAATTGTTACTAACATTACGATGCAAGAAAAAATAGAGCTAAGTTTGAAAAAGGCCGAACAGAACGAGGCTGAGATATATATTTTATATCATATAAAAAAAAAAAATGTTAGTAACGTAATGATGTAAACAAAACTAGAGTAAATTTGAAAGGGTCCGAAAGAAACGAGATCGAAGACACACTGTATAGAAATTTTTGAAAAAAAATAAAACCGTAGTTGAAAAAAGGCCAAGCGAAGCGAGGCTGAACTATATTAAAAAACGTCGAAAATCTAAGACTAATGTATTTTATTTACTAATAGAAATCTGTCCATAACAGTTTCGGATTACAGTATTAGTTTAAACTGAGTGGCGAAGCGTACAATTTATAATTGTATATAACATTATTGACATAATGATAATAATAGGTTGAGGTAAATTTTGGCGTGTCGGATGGTTTATTGATTACATTAATTCGCATTATGTATAAATATTTTCGATCGTGTCTTGTGTTGACAATTCTTTACGGCGAAGCGTATGTTACTGTACTTTAGGAAATCATTTTTTAACAATGATTTTTTTTTTTACATTAAAGATAATATTTTTGAATTAACGAAAGGTTTTGTAAATTACGTGCTTGACGAAACCTTGACGATTGACAAAATCCCTGACGTAGAGATTGTACTCGGGTAGACATTTTTATTATATGGCTATAATAAATTACACGGATAACGGGTACAATCTCTATCTGACGACTCTATTCAACCAATGAAAAATCAAAATACATTGAATTTTTATAATGACTCCGGATATGCTGAATATTAATTTTTTTTTTTTTACAAATTATCGTTATTTCATTATAAAGTTACGCCGGTTCATATGGACATCGAATTTTTAATTGATGATAAACTTTTATTATCTGTTTATTATACCTGGCGGACAAAGGTTCCTGGACAGGGTCTTTTTTAATCGTTGATATATTTTGATTAACATTTTAACGTTATACCATATATGTACATAGATATAAAAAAATATATAAATATATGGGGGTGTCAGTAGAAACCAAGCATCTTGTTTTTAATAAGTTTTTTTAAAACTTTAAATTAAAATATCTTGTCAACTATTAAACCAAACTTGATTCTACACTGGCAATCATAAGTAGTGCAACAAAAAAAAAATTTCACTTACATCATACTACCTCCCGCAATTCCGGGCA